ATATACCTACATCGTTTGTAATACTTTTATTTATAAAATATTTTTTTTTTTTTGTAATTTTTAGTACCTACTAATACATTTTTTCGATATACATATTTTTATTTTTTTTTTACATATTTTAATAAAATTAAGTACATATTTATGTACATATTTTGATTTTTTTATTACAATAAAGTCCGTTCCCTATATATAATTAAACGTTGTATACATTGCAATCGAATTTTATGATTCCTATTATTGTTTGAGATAATCTATATAAATACAACGATAGCGAATTGTTTGCAACGAATTATCTACATATGTGTTTTTATATTACTCAGTACGTGGTTTCCCGTGTTATGTGTTGTACAAATCATTTATACTAAAATAAAATAGAAAACGTATGAATTATATCATCTGAGCGTGGTGGAAATTTAATTGTTTTTAACTCGCACAAATATCGTTTCATTAGACCGAGGAAGGACAATATTGAAAAGTGGACATGCACCAACAACAAATGTCAAAGAAATCTTAGGTGAACACTGTCATTCTACAATAGCCACTTCAAAAATTGAATGTCAAGTGTTGAGGGAAAATTGTAAAAGGAAAGCTGCGGATTCAGTTTCGACTAAACCAGTCAAAATTATTCGAACGGAACTTATGAAATGTATTGACACTACGATTCTTCAACACAAAGATTTAAAATCTATTCGAAAAGCAGTTAATTGCGAGAAAAGAAAAATATATCCTGCTTTACCCAAGACCCATTTTGAGGCTGTTAATGAATTAAGAAATATGAAGAATGATGATGTTTTTAAATTTAGAGGTCAACAATTTATTTATGTACATGACGAAAAAAATTTAATATGTGTTACGACTAACGATAATTTAAATTGTATTGTTAATTGCACAACATTTTTGGCTGACGGAACTTTTGATTGTGCACCAAATAATTTTTTACAGATGTATACCATACATTGTTATCAAAATGGATATTCCACTAGTTTACTTTTTCTTGAAAAAATAAAGCAAAAACTACATATATTGACATGTGGAATTATTTAAAGAATTTGTGCCTAACAATTACGTCTAAAGTTTTGGAAATTCAGTATCTACATTTAGATTTTGAAATCGGCGCTCATGAAGCTGTTCGTGAAATATTTTCCGGTGTTATGATAATTGGTTGCCGTTTTCATTTAGGTCAAGCTTGGTGGCGTAAATTAAGATATTATTAAACATTTTTAATTAAGTTTTTATTTATAATAATTTGTTTTTAGATTAATGAAGACAAAATTTTAAAAAATGCTTACAAAGACAAAAATAGTGAATTTGGTAATTGGCTAAAAATATTTTTCGGACTCCCATTTCTGCATCATTCAGTTGTAGAAGATGGTTTTATTCAACTAATGCCGTTATGTCCAAATGAACTACATGGCCATAGATTTCCCGATTACATTTTAAAAAACATATGTCAAACCAAATAGTTTATTTCCTCCAGTTTTATGGAGAGCAAAAGAACCATCTCGACATCCTAGGTAAATTTGTATACAATATTTAGGTTAATTATTTTTTTGTAACTCAGTTAATTTAAGTTAATGTGCATAAATAAGAAAAAGTTTTATGATGTTTATCAACGCAAAACTAAGTTATAATGCTTATATATACGACATACAGTATGTTTATAGTATGTATTTTATTAGTTTTTTGTTTGTATACAAAAAAAACAATAGTCATCGAATTAATAATAAGGTTTAGTTAATTAAGAGGTTCCTAAAAGCTGAAATAATTAACTTAAATTATTTAATAAAGTTTTTCATACAAATATTATTTGTTGCACCTGTTATGGGCTACGAGATATGCTAATAATATAAATATATATAATATAATATGTAATATTGCTAGAAGGATAATAAATCATTATAATCTTCATCATAAATAAAAATAGCAGTCGTTGTGGTCAAAATGTCGAAGTTGACATCCTGGAGATTGTTGTTTCCAAATGTGAAAACAATTCCAAGAATTAATATGAATTAGAAGGTTGTCGACTACAACAATAAGAGACTTCTTTGTATATAAGGGAGTCCAAAGACCAACAGAGGCAGATGTACCAGAGCCATGAAGACCTGAGCAACTTCACGACACTCAACCACTTTTTGTATCAGTTACATGTACTTCATTTATACGTAATAAACACATTATTGTTCTTAAGAGTTGTAAATTTCATTTAAATAACACCCTGAGTCTGGATCTGATATTGGCACGCAACACACCTAACCTTGCACATAATTTTGTTCTCAATTGTACTGTTTTTTTGGGTCAACGGTTATTTCATTGTTCAATCTCGAACGTTCTCAATCATATTTTAGTTATATAAATATAATATGATGTATATAGTACCACTGTACCTACTACCTATATCTAATTAGGTAGCTCTCAGTTACAGGTAGTGATGGGATCATACATTTATGATTATTATATTTCAATTATCAAAATAATTGAAGTATCAGACATATTTATCAATAGCAAATTATTCGAAATTATGTGTTATAAATTTATTAAAAAGTATAAAACTACACAATTGCCAATAATCATTGAATTTTTATAAATATTAAACAATATACTTAATAATATTCAAATTTAAATTATAAATAAAATAATATAAAACATAAATAAAATATAAACACTTTTAAAATTTTGAATTACAATGAATATAAAGTTAATTCATTAAAATCGAATTAAAATAAAAAAAAATATAATCTAAATTATTAGGATTAAGTCGATTTCGGCGGTCATTCGTCAACTGACCCGTTTTCGAAAATACGCGTTCTGAAGGAATAGAAGTCGCAGGAACACTCAAATATTTGAGTTGAAGTTTATAAATTTCTGGAAAAGTATTTTTATGTTGATTCCAAAATTTCAAAGAACATTTAGTTCGACTTAAGTAGGGCATTTCTAAGTATTGACGAAGCATCAGTGAAGCTGAAATGTCAGCGAACAAATTAGTTTTGATTTTTTGAGACTTAACTGTCAAACTGTTTCCACAATAATGTAGATTCAATATTTATCGGAGGTGTTGTAGATTCAATGATATCATGAGTATTTTTTCATTATACATTTAAGTTCGTCAGTTATCCATTTTTCTGCGTTATTCGCGTTTTCAACTATCCCAAATCCTGCTTTTTTAAACCTTGGGTTCATAAATGTTGCTTTTGCGACTGTTTTATTTTGCTCCAGTATTCCCAAACGCCTAGCTACGATTTCTATTAAATATTGTTTGATTGAATTTCCTGTTGCTGTTTTAGTTGCTACATTTTTTAACGTATACTGCAGACCTCTTATTAACGGAATAACTTTGGAAAGTGTTGGGTATTTTTCAACCGATAATTTAACAGTCATAACATCGAATGGTTTTAACATAGGTGAACAGTCGAATATTAATTCCCATTCTAACAAACTTAAAAAAAATGGGCGCACGTGGAAGATATGTTATTGCCGCAAACAAAGGATCTTTGATTTCAATAAGTCTCTCTATCATATGTAAACTAGAATTCCATCTAGTGCTTATGTCTTGTTTTACTTTTAACTGTGAAAGACCCATTTGAATTTGTAATTATTTTAATTTTTTCCGATGCTAAAACACTGTGTTTGAAATGTTCGACCAGTGTTCGACATTTTTTTAAAAACATCAAGAAACTCTTTATTGGACAAAATCGCCTCGTTAACACTTAAATTTAAGGTATGTGCGACGCAGGGATGATGGTGTTTACACAGAGACTCATTAATTGCATTTTTAATGTTCGCCCCGTTATCTGAAACTATAGTGACAACCTTGTCGTCTTTGATTCTCCATTCAATTAAAATATTTGAAAGTAAAGCGGCAATGTTTAAACCTGTATAAACTTCAGGTATTTCCCTTGTAGCTATCACGGGTGAATACAAATGGTCATTAAATATAAAATGCGAAGTAACCGTAATATAAGCTTTATTACTATCGGAAGTCCACATGTCTGTTATAATAGATAAGTCGGAAATATTTTCCAACATAGATTTAAGTGTAGCAACAATTTTATTATATTCATCCGATATTAGGTGGTTATTGTCCGCGACATGAAAAGTGGTCGATTACCGTCGCGAACCTAGCGGTCATTTCGCCTCAGTGGTTCATAATGTAATTAAATTAATCATTTCAACTGCGACCCCCGTCAACGGGCAGGTGGTGGTGTAACTTGAGAACCAATGGCTCACTGATAGGGAAGCCACAACGAGTCGCGGTACAAATCGGCCACTTTTCGTGTCGCGGACTATAGTGTTTTCCTACTAGGTGGCTTGTACAAGAGCTGTAATTTTTTTAATAAATTCTAAAAAAATCAGTGTTTTCAACCAATAACAGTGGTTAATAGTCATTTCACGATAATTTTAATTAAACTCTTGTCTATAGATAATTTTTCATCTTCTGTTAATTCATTGTCTCTTGTTGAACCGTATAACTTTAATTGACGCGAACGTTTGGATATAGGAGAAGAACCTGAAGAACGGGGTTGATTGCCTATGTTAGATAATTCTGATAATACATTAGAAGGTCCTGCTGATAATCCCGAGTCTAAGTTGTCATCTATTTCTAACGTGGGATTAAGATACAACGGATGTATTCGTTTCAGATGTTCTTAAAATAAAAAAAATATATTGAAAATAATTATTTTTGATAAAAAGTGGCAATAATTTATAATAAACTATATGAAAATAATTGCGTCATAGTAGAGATTGGCCCGTTTCCTTTCAACTTTTTAAATACAAATAAACTGATTTACATAAATAACAATATTCCCCAAGTACAATATTTAAATCTTACCTTTCAAATTAGTAGTATTGCTGTGATATTTAAATTCCTTTTTACATATCTTACAAACAACGCATTTTTCGGAAGTTTTTTGAAAATACTCCCACACTATCGACCTTTTATTAGGTGCCATGACAAAAATGTAACTTAAAATACTCTATAGTCAGTACTTATTAAATACTAAAATCAGTCCGTTAAACTGACTCGAACCTAGTAAAAGATAAAATGAACTGTTTGATGTTGAATAATATTAAATAATAATTGTCTACTACTCTTGAGTATGGATTTACTTCTATTTCGGGTTTCTAATAAATTGTAATGTTTACTTTCCTTTGTTGTTATAATTAGATTTAAGTCATTGGGTACTAAATTAAGAATGCGACCTTCGAGGCGAAGCGCGTTGCCGATGCGGTCTCCTAGAGGAAACCGCGGAGCATGTGCTATTCGATTGCCCAGTATATAGCCAGGAAAGAAACAAGCTCGCAACCGCTGCGCAAGCGGTCGGTGTGGACTGGCCGTGTGACTGCGATACCATGACCTCTATGGAGGCCATGTTCCTTGCGTTCAAAACGATCTCCCGGGAAGTCTTAAAACGTAAAGATGCAGGGCCATTCCGTGAATACGACCAGGTCACCTAATTTTAAAAATAAAGCGGAAAAGGTGTGTGGCTAGAGGGCGTACGTGCTGGGCACGACCCACTGCCAGAGACATGGGGATCGTCTCCCTTTCCACACGGGAAAAATCGTCCATGTGGGCCTAGCCAAAACGACCGTCGGTCGTCAGAGACGGCGGCGGGGCGAAAGTCTGCAAAGAACCGGATAGTGGCAGGCGAAGCGGGGACCTGATAACCGGACTAAGGGAACTAAAACGGCGCCCCCACAGGATAGTCGAACACCCTCCGTACTAAGACCCGCCTAGCCAGGAGTGAGAGACGGGATACCTTGCGGGACGAATTGGGTACCCGCCTTCTCCCGGAGGTGGGACGGGATATCTAGCGAGGCGAATTGGGTACCCTCTCTCCCATATGAATGAATTCTTGCCTATACCGAGAGCTCGAGCTATAGGGGCCAGACCACCCTTCGGGCGAAGGACGGCGCGTATTCCGCCGGCTCGGGGCTTGATACGGGAGAAGCACCGGCAGAAACGGCAATCTGTCGACAAAGACAAAAACCGTATGCACCAGAAGGGGGTCGTCGCGGTACACACAGCGGTGCACCGACTGACCTGCTTTCGGACAAGGTAATTGCGAGGGCCTGAACGTCGGGTTCAAACCTTGTACCACGGGACTCGGAGTAAGCTCCGTCAAGTGGGCTTGCTAATAGCACCTCGACGCTTCGGGGGTGACGGACCTGAGGCGCGCCACCGCGTGGACTCACCGAGGACACGCGCTCGTCCACACCGGGGAAGCCACACTTGAGGAAGGACTTGTGGTGATTTTGGGAGTACCGTCTTAGTAGAAGGGGTTTGACTCAGGCGATAATCCGTCGAGCCCTGGCCGCGGCGGTCACTCAATATGGCGCCCCGGTAGGGTCTCCCGGATGGACTTCCTGCATCTCACCCGGAAGAGATAGCCTCGCGGCTACATATAGGGGTCGAGTATCTCTCGGGTAACTCGGAAGAACTGGTCGGACCCCGTAACACACGGAAAGATGTCCATGTATTGTATTATTATTTATTTTAATCATTAATTTAAATATTTGCCACTCTAATCGTTATTCGGTATAATACGTTTAAATATTTGGATTGAAAATACATTTAACACTTGTAGATTATCATTTAATTATTTATATAACCAGTTCAAGCAATGCTATCATGAATCATTCGAATACTCGATTATTTTGTTTTTGAATACTAATCATTCGATTATTCAATTATTTTGTTTTCGGATACTAATCATTCAATTATTCGATTATTTATTTTTTTTCAATTACTAATCATTGGATTATTCCCATCACTAGTTCTTATATCATATCATGATGCCTTTAAATCTTAAAATTAAAAAAATGCATAGAATATGCAAAAATACTTTAACTTTTTTACTAGGTAGTTAATTAATGAAATGTACTAACCTACTTTATATTATGTCTGTATGTTATAACTTATAACTTACAGTGTTATACAGTTCAGCCTACAGTGTAGTTAATGCACATTGGTCATAATATAACTTAGATACCTAGGTACTATATACTTATATTAATGTGTGTTATATGTAGGGGAGAGCGGAGTTAGTTGTTACAATTTCTCAAAATTAATTTTTATAATTTTTCTTTTACTATGGTCATAATTGTTATAAGACCATTTTATTAAGTAATTTTTTAGGTATCTTTTGATGATAATAAAATGAAAAAAAATTAATTTTTAATATTAAAAAAAACGTTGGTAAAGTTACTAAGTCAAAATGTAACAACCTGTCTCGGGGTAGGGTAATTGTTATAGTCTAGGGGTACAATGTTACAGTCTACATTTTGAAATATTATTACCCAAAATAGATAAGAAATCAACAGCGAGAGTAATGATAAACACATTTTATAATAATAAATACCTATACCAAGGTATAAAACAAAATATAAACAATTCTTCATTTTTAAATTATTCTTTATTATTTAATTTAAAAACATAATAAGTTATAACAAAATATAAATAAACAATTTTCGTTTTTTATAACAAAAACATTGTTAAAATTTTATAAAATAATAACCATTTATAATTATAATATTTTATACTGAATAAGTCTTATTTTATACAAATAAATATAACCAACAGTCTTATCTAAAAATTAAAAATAAATATACAATTTTCCTTTTTTATAACAAAAGCATTGTTAAAATTTAATACAGTGAAACCTCTATTAATGAACACCTCTCAATAGTGGACCCTTCCCAATAGTGGACACTTCTAAATTCCCCGGCAAAAATGTATGCGCATAATAGGAGTTATAACCTCTTAGTAGTGGACGTGGACACAATAAACTGGTACCAAATTAAAAATTACCTCTCATAAATGGACACAATACATGTACATTTCGAAAACGTTTAATAAAAATACTATATTTATCTGTTATATATTCGTTCATATTTTATCTTATCTCAATGGTTTTCCTAATCGAAGAATTACTAATGGTTCGGTTATGTGTTCGCCGTTCGGTCGTTAGTTGTGTGCAGCACATTGTGTAAACACGTACCTGCGTTAAAATGAATAATAATAAAAGAAAAAGATTGAACTTAGAAGAAAAATTAAATATTATTAAAACCAAGGAAACAGAAAATCTAAGTGTTCGTGTTTTAGCAGAACGATTTTGCATAAGCAAGTCACAGGTAAATTTAAATATTTCATTTAAACACATACATATTTTGTTTTAATTTATCTAAAAATCATTTAATGAAAAATACAGGTGAATAACATTTTACAAGATGCGTGTAATTTGAAAAAATATTACGCTGAGAACGGCAATGAAGATATGAGGAGAAAATTTTCGAAGACATCGGATGGAGCACTTGAAGATAAAGTTACATTTGAATGGTTCTGTAGAGCCCGTTCATATAATTTACCTGTTTCTGGACCATTGCTCCAAGAGAAAGCACGAGAAGTTGCAAATGAGGTAGGTCTAGAAAATTTTAAAGCTTCAAATGGTTGGCTTCAAAAATTCCGAGAACGTCATAACATTTCTTTTAAAAATATATGTGGTGAAGGTAACTCTGTTGATACAAGTGTCGTAGAAAAGTGGTTAGAAAAATTGAAAACATTAATTTCAGATTATGAACCAAAAAATATATTCAATTGTGATGAAACAGGTTTATTTTTTCGAGCACTTCCTGATAAAACATTGTGTTTAAAAAACGAAATTAGTCGTGGAGGTAAAATAGCTAAAGATCGATTAACTGTTTTACTATGTGTAAATATGATCGGGGAATTTGAAACTCCGTTAATAATAGGAAAATCACTAAAACCACGTTGTTTCAAAAGTGTAAATGTATCAACGTTAGGTGTTAATTGGAAAGCTAACCGTAAGGCATGGATGAATCGAGATTTAATGACAGATTGGCTAATGTGTTTTAACAGAAAAATGGAGATGGAAAATAGAAAAATTATTTTATTTCTAGATAACGCTAGCTCACATCCTGATACATTAAACTTAAAAAATATAAAACTAATATTCCTACCTCCAAAT